TCTTATTACATACATACTGAGAAATACTCACCAAAAAGCTATGTCGTAAATTTTCGTACGCAAATTAGTTCTAGCCAATCAGAGGAGCGAACGATGGTTTTCACACGTGATAAAAATGATACGTCCAATCAGAATCGTGAACGATGTTTTTTCACGTGTGAGAAAAATGATACGTCCAATCAGAAGCCACAGAGGTGTGTGAGTTTCGCGCCACAATTCCCGCCTTTTATTGCAGCTTGCAGCGCCGCTTCGCACACATTCAACGAGAAACGTTTTACTCAAAGAGTTTCTTTCGCTAAAAAAGTGAAAAACATTTCGGAAATGGAGTGGAATAGTTTCGTTTATTTCACTGTCGATGAACAAAACGGTAGAGAGCCGGCGAAACAACAGCGGAAAGGGAAAAACAGAACGAGACGTAAGCTTGTGTTGTGCTTTTTGTCGGAGCTACTTTGCCTTTCATTTAAGCTTAAGCTTGTATTGAAACCGGCCATTTTACTTAAATTCACTCATTTTCAATTGTGCATTGAGAACAAAGAGTTAAGATTACTTATAGTTCTTGGATTACCTCATATCCTTACCGTCATTTACGTTTTTGACAAACGTTTTTACTAAAAAGCTGATACTTCGTTTTCGTTGTCATTTTCCGGTAAGTGTGTAGCGGCAAATGTTAGCATTTTTGAAAGATTTAAAATAAAAAGGCCGCCAAAATGATGAATGTCTCAGTATGTATATAATAAACACAATACCACATGGAAAGTGCTTTGTACGGTATTTACGCACTCGTTTTTGTATCACAAATCTTAAGGGGAAGGAGACGAACGACATTTCCACACATTTACACGTCTTTTAAATAGAGCTTGAAGGTGATTCCGTAGTAAAAGAACTAGTTTACAGGGTGTCCTAAAAGTTCGTTCCTCTACTTTATAAGGTCTGTAATGCAGTACGAGTAGACTTGATAGGCAAATAGTTTAACCACAAATTGCATCTTTCGGTGTTTTTTAATATTTCATACTTTTTTTTTTTCTTTTTACAGGTATAGTACAAACAACATACAGATCGAAACATACAAACATTACAAAATTTGCAACAACTACCTTAATTAAAAAAAAAAAAAAAAATAGAATAAATAAATAAAAAGCTACACTACACTACACTACAAGACTTACACAACTTATTCGACTTGAACTTAAAATACAGAGTAATACAGGGAGTATTAGAAAAACGAAGTTTGGATAACAGCTACTGTTGTATTAATGGAGTAACGGCTTCCATTTTTTATCATGGAAATGGATTTTGTTGTTTCTTTTCGCGATAAAACGTTCGGTTTGAAACGTTTTTTTAAATTTATCGACTAACAGTCTTACACATAAACAGCCCTTATTTAACTTACAGCGGTAAATAAAATATCTGCTTTCAAGAATGATGTAATTGACTAGAATGCTTATATTATCTGTATCTAAGATCCCAAAAAGGACATTCATGATATCAAACCTAATAGTTATATTAAAAGAATCAAATACAGACTTTAAATCATTCCAAAACATGCTTACATTTCATACTTGCTGTGCCATCTTTTGGCTCGAATATTCTCTTCTATACTTTCGCACGAAAGATGTGCCTGCGCGATTAAATTTTCCCGTCATACAACATGTATGTTTTTGTATTTTGTAGCCCGAATTGCTCGACTTCCTACCTTGTTTTTGTGAATATCACGAAAACAAACCATCTCAACGAAAAACGCTCAGCTACATGAGAGCATAAGCATGTATACTTCGATCTACTGGCTTATCAGTTAAATAAATTACTAAAAAAATGGAAAAATCCGAATGTTGGGTGGTAAGATGGTCATCGAGAAATGAAGGTTTTAAGAGCAGCTTTCCCTAAATATCGACCAACTGTCGACACAAGTTCAAAATTCAATTTCCTTCATTTTTTGCTCATCGGTAACCGTTAATGAGTAAGCAAACCAGCTGTAGTTAGTTTTTCCAAACACAGCTTTCTCTCGTTAAAATTCGAGGAAACCCATTTTCCCCGATCAGAGGTTAGTATCTACTTCCGGTAACACGAAATTTCTCAAAAATTCAATCAACTCGCTTGTCAAACTGCAACTAGTTTCGAGTCTTTGAGCAGCATAAACAATTTCCTTAAGCCTTGTTGTTCTTAAAAAATGAATCATTTGAAAAATCTTGAATATTTTTGGTGCCAAAGGTAATTGCTAAGTAAAGGCTATATTTGTCTTTTTCTACGTAGCTAAAACATAACAAAACATATGTCCAATTTTAACGTTGCGCTATAACTTAGAATTTCGTAAACTGACCTTCCATGGCTTACTTAGATACTAATCTAACGGAAAATCAAAAAAATCTCTGGGCAAACGATTTTAACTGGCCCGCAAGACTTGATGTTTTACTCTAATTTTGCGAAGATTGCGGCTTTCGCATTGTAAATAATTGCGTGACACGGTTCGTCACGATATTGGCGTGAGCAACAAATACGCCAAAACCATTCATTTTGTGGGAGAATTTGTCGAATTAAAACAAAAAATCAGTATTACAATGTTCAAAGGCGTGATATTTCCTTAAGAGCTTTGTGTTTTTGTTTTTGTTTTTTTTTTTTTTTTTTTTTTTTTCAGCAAATTAGCCATTTTTTCAATATGGATTTTAATGTCATGTTTCAGGAATTGCACATAAGCAAAAAAGTAGCAACGCATACACAACCAAAACAACAAAAATATTTCACTGAAGCAGGAATATATATAGCCATTTTAATAATTTGTAATAATATGATATATATTATAAATCGTTCGGCGACGCGACAACACTCGCACGCTGATTTCACATTTACATTCCTGAACAGCTAGGACTGCGATTCAGAGTAATGTTGGCTTAAAGGGAAAAATGTCTTCGCGATTTCCCCGATTGAAGCTGTATCCGCGAGAGAACGCATAACTTTTGGTTTTCTTGAAAAAAGCAAGACCCGACTATGTTTTAGTTATTCCCGATCGGGCCACTCAGTATTTGACTCCACCGAGTCGCTTGGTTCGGGTGGAGTGGTGTTAGGGTTTTTAAAATCTTCAGCACCACATTAATCTTTGAAAACTTTGATGGGGGAACATGCCCTCAGAACTCTCTTAGCCTGTAAACAGACGTTGTTTTTATTATTTTTCTTTTCGAAGGCGGAGCGCGAAAAAGAAAAAGAAATTAATTAAGAGAAAATAGAGGGTCTGTGAACAGACTACCTCCTAGATGCATGCCCCTCTGAGTTCTGGAATAGCGGTTGCTATATTTAATCTCACCTGACTTCTTTGAAAAACAAAGCGTTAAATACTGAAGAACTAAGTTGAGAACATCGCTAAGGATTCTGCACTACAGTAATTTAAAACTACTATCTGTATCAAACTTAATAAAGCTTTCTGCTGGATAATTAAACATTGATCAACATCTCAGGTTACTGGGTGAAGGAATTACTTTAATCAGTTGTCCCAGCCTCCTTCGGAAGGTTACCAGACACGTGACTTTGCGATGGGTTTGATTTCGATTCCATTGACTTCTGCTACTCTTCGAGGAGACGTTTTCCGCACTTTGAGGTACGATTACAGCTTTATGGCTGCAAAGTCTCGCCCAGTTTGACATCTGACATTTTAATACAGTTCATTCAGTCCTTGTTTATTGTGTCCCCTGCAGGGAATGGGGTGGGGATTTGATTGTTTTTGTTGGCCCCGGGGTAGGGCGTTTGACTGATCTTGTTCTCCTGGAAGAGGGGATATTTGAATCTTTCTTCGCCCAACGACGTGGGGATATTTGACTGCTGACTCGGACGAAAGACACTGAGACCGAACATCCATGCTTCACGCATGCGCCGCACGGTCTGAAAAGGTCTGGAAATCATGGAGGCCAACGAGGAGAATCGAAAGGTGAGTGGATTTCACTGTTTTGTCTTAAAATTTCGTTTGTGTTAGCGTCTCTTTGATCAATGGATCCTTTTAAGATACTGCGGTATCAGAGTAAACGGAAGCAAAGAGAAACAGTGAATTTTGACCAGTAAAATTGATCAGTGTATGGCTCATTCGGTACAAACGGTATATTAAAACTTACAAAATATGATATGGACTTTCTCCTAAAGGTTTCTGTATTCTACGCAGTGTAACACCGATCGAATGGTTAAAACGTATAATTGCAACAGGAATATGTATCTTTGGTGATGCAGCAGCATTTTAAGAAAAAGATTGTAGAGTTTTATTTGGACTGAGATATTGTTATTGTCCCTTTGGGTCCAGCCGTGCGTTATTTGACAGCAAGGTGCAGCCCGGGGTGGGGAAATTTGGTTACATTTGACTGGAATGATTTGCCTGTGGGTAAGGAATTTAATGCCAAATTTTTGAAAAATGTGAAATCCCCCCCCCATGCCTCCCTTACCCCCCCCACCCGCACTGCCAGCTTGTTGACATTGATAGGTGCATTACGCCTGCTCGTTGTCTTTTGAATTGATTTCGCTTTTTCCCTTGTTTGTGTTATTAGCAGCATATAATCTTCCTAAAGTCCATGTTTTGCTATGTTCTTTCTTTCAACGATTTAAAAGGGTGGATTCCTTTGCAACATATGGCTAGGTGTTTTACAGCATTTCTATGTTGTGGGTTGGCGCTCTGATGAGAAACTTCTTGCTAGGGTTTCCACCTCGGCATTATCAGTTCTCTTGCCCCTGAAATTTGACAATTTTTCACCCTTCCGCTCCCCACACACTCCTTCGATAATTAGAAAAAATAGATAATAACAAAACAAACAAACAAACAAACTCCAGTCAATACCAAGACAAAATCCAGGTGTTCTGAGCCAATGTTAAACATGCCTAGAGCATCTTTCTTCCAGATGATTTCATTCACTGAATAATTGTTTATTTCAGAGTTGGATTGACCTGTCCACTCGAGCAGGTGCATGTGCTTACTAGTTCCAGAAGGGCATCTATGTATGGCTGCTTTCGTTTCACCATGATTTGGGAGACATCTATACCAAGAGCGAGGCAGATATCGATACAGAAAAGGTACTTTTGAGTTTGCCTCCAGAGGCCAGTTCACAGATATCATATGTATCAAACATGATTGGATGCGGCATGGTTACTGCACCAGATACCTCATTTCTCAATCTGCTCAGCACTTCCTCCTGGTGAGCGCTGCATTCTTCTTCTTTATCCTCTTCAGTTATGACATTAACAGTTCGTTTAGATGCTAATCTTGAAAAGAAGCTCTGGATTTGTTGACTGGTTAGGAATTCATTGCAATTGGACAAACGCTTGCCGTTAGGATCTTTAGCAGCTCTCATATCTTTAGCAACAGTTCCAGGATCGAGTTTCCTTCCGGTTTTTTCTCCTATTTCAAATTTCTTTATAAGGTAATCCTTCTGACTGGAATTAAATCTAGTGCTCCGGGAGAAGGAACTTTTAAGAGCCCACCCCATGTATGACGAGAAACCCGGAGCATCTGAACTGTGTTCTCTTGTCACAAAACCCTCTTTGGCCGGTATTACAATGTTTGATACCCCAGGCTTTTCAAGAGCAAAGGTATACGTCAACATTGCTCTGTCGAGAAGCGTTTCATGCTCCAATGCCCTTCCAATGCCCAATGCCCTCCAATGCTTACCACACTGAATGTGTTGTTCTAAACTGGAATACCTTTGAAAGGACATTGTGCACCCTTCTTCTGGACATGAAAATAACTTAGAACCTGAATCGTCATCAGTTCCACTTGAGCCTCCATCATCTTCCTCAACCTCAGCTGCGATTGCTTTGGAAGGATCTGCAGTTTTTCTTGGCTTCACGGCAACAAATTGCGGATTCAAGTTTTTTTCTGTTTCATGATTAGCAATCAAAGATGGCTGGTCATCAACACATACGTTAAATTTGCTCCAGGGAACCACTTTACCAGGTCCTATGTTGTATGCCTTCCATACCTTCATTCCTTTGCTGTTGTACTCGACATTGTTTATGAAGCTAACACCGTCCCACGTCAAATTCTTTCCTGTTTGCCGCTGAGGAGTCTCTGCCACGGTGACAACTACACCGGGGATTCCACCAGAAGATTCAATTGCCGTCTTCATCTGGGAAGCGCTCTCGATGTCATGGCCTTCATTAAGGAAGATTTGCATGTGGGACTTGATACTGGCTGCCTTCCTGTCACATGCCCCTTTTCCCCCTTGAGGGTCTGAGAAATCTAATCTTTTCAAGGTCACCCCGGCCTTCTCTGCCTGCAATTTGGCACCAATAATCGTTGAAGCACTATGGTAGCAGCCGGTGTTATCTTGACGATAAAATACATTTTCCAGATTTGGCACGGCCTTCTTCAGTTTCTTTAGAACGTCACCCATAATAGCTAGAACCGTGAAACTGTCTTGGCTACAACTTGGAAATATATGAACAAATGTCATTGTCTCGAGTACATCTGAGGCTGGAGCACGTCGTATCACCACGGTTATGTGCCAGGGGATCCCGCGCTTTGCAAACCAATTGGTCTGGCTCTCTCTGTATTGACGTGGCAAGTACTTCATTGCCCAGTCTTGGACAAGCAAAACTGAATCTTTACTTAGTTCTTCAACAGCGTCAACTCTAGCTTCATCCTGGTTTACTGAGCGCAGGAGGTGAGTCTTCCAAGCCAATATGCTGCTTTTAGCTTGCTCCACTATAAACTTTAGTTCTTCCAGCTCCTCTGTCGTCGTAGTGACGTGGCTCATAGCTTCCTCAACGTCGCACACGCTCCGCTGTACAAGATCACAACGATCACATACGCCATTATGAACATGATCACAGATATCTTTGTAGTCTTCGTCTTTAGTATCACTGAGGGCAAAGCGTCTGCAGTGATCCGCAACAGAGGACGTCTTGGAAACATGAACCTTAAGTGTTATTGTCAGAAAAAACCGGGCAATAGCAAAAGATCGAGGTCGGCCGTTTACCTTCATGTTTTCACAGTATGAAAGCTATCTGAAAAGATTAACAACCATGGCATTTGGAGAAGTAGCCGTTCGATTTTCTTCGAAATATCACTATTTCGAGATTTTGGGACCTCCGGCGACCTAAAAAAGCACAAATTTTGGCTAACTTTGGGTGAAGTTAAAACATACTTGGCCAAACTCCCAATAGTTCTTATATTTTTTCCATAACACCTATCGCTTCGTTAGTCGACTGGAATATGTTAAACTTCCTTTGCTTAAATACTCTATTTTTTACCTGGTGCTAAAAATCGCTCCTGAATCGTTAATGAGCGTCACCCAAATTTCAGTCATTTTCAGTTGACTGTTTTACCGAGATGCGGCAGTTTATTTCAAAAGTAAAATCATTTCTAGATGGCTTATTGTGCTGTTATCAAAATCCAGTTTGTTTAAAATTGGTATCTAGCAGCAAATTGGAGAAAATGGCATGCGAAAGTACAATACGAAGCGTCGAGTATTAATATTTCCCGCCAAATTTTATAGCGCCACGTTTCGTTTTACTGTGATTGTGGTTCGTAAATGTCTTAAAATAGATTTTTACGACTTCAGAAGAGATAATTGAAAACTTTTATATCCCTAATTACAAGGAAAAACATTATAAATCACCGTATTGATAATAATCTTTTTAATAAGCAAGCGAAATCGTCAAAAAACGAAGCCCATTTTTCCCGCGAAAGTTTTAATTTATTTGTCACGCAGTACAATAAAGCCGGACTGTATTCTCAGTTCTGAGCTTTTGACGTTGGCCAGAAAACAAACTTAAATCAAATAATACCAAGAAAATTCAGAATTATCCTAATTAAATTACTTCATAGAGACACCCTGTTTCCATCGAACGCTAGAGTTGTCACGAATTTAATGATCGGACGTCACGACAGGTTGAAAACAGATCAAAACATGAATTGTTCATTCAGATCGGAGGAATCGCCATGTGGCTTGCGTGGAGTTGGTACGGTTATTCTGCCGTTACTTGCCTGCAAAAGAGATATTACCTTTCACCTTCTTAGTCTGAAAATCAGCGTAAAACGTGGTAGAGAAAGCACCGAGGTAAGCGAAACAGAGTTAATTTTAAACCGTGCAGGTCTTTTGGGTGCTTTTAGCAATGACGAAATGCAGACCATGACAATCTGTCCCAAGCATAGGCTGGATCTTACGACTAACTGGCCGGGTCGTAAAGTCGAAATATGTTGTTATCCAGACCATGAAGGTACCAAGAGAGGACTTAAACTCCCTAGTCGTGTAAACGCTGATATGTCAGCGGAAATCTTTGTTTTATTCAATGCTGTGGTTCCTATTGGCTCAGGTTAGTGTAATGCATTCATTTTTACAGATGTTCTTTTTTAGCTTTAAGTAGTTCCCGCGATTTGCATCAAAAGGGTGGAACACGAACGCCCGTAAGCAAGTATTTGCGACAGATTGCAGTTTCCCATGACTGATGCTTTACTCCAAAAGGGTGGTTTCATTGTGTCCAAACCGCGTGTACCGAGTGATAAAGACACCTTATTGCCATCAAGCCAATGGGGAAAATCATACTTAAGCCCCGCTAAAATATTTTTTCTTACCTTGAACTCTAATTTTACTGACAACATAAACTTTCTGAGCCTCTAGATTTCAAAATTTTCGTGGGGGGGGGGGGGGCATGCCCCCAGACCCACCTAGCGGCTCACGCCTTTGGCGCTCGAAACTTGCCTCGTCTTGTTCTGAAGTCTGGCTACGGCCCTGGAACAAACGTTTTGCTTCTAAGGGCCTCTTCATATGAGCCCGGTTTCCGAGATCTCGCCTCACCTCTAAATCCTTTGTAAAATTTTCGATGTGTTCATATGAGAGGGCGGGCTGGCTCGGTTCCCGAGATCTCGGTAAGCGGGCTGGAAATTTTGCCATATGAACACTTCATCCCGGTTACCGGGATGAACGGCGGAATGAATTCTGGCGGTCCGGATGGCATCGTCTTGCATTGCCTGCTGTGTTTTCCACATCATAAGCATCCCATTTAACTGCAGTGATACAGCTTTAAGAGTTACCGATGCTAAGATAGGCCCGAAAGTTAAAATTTTTGTGTTTCGCTATGTTTGCTTTGTTTCCCAAATTTGGCGCCAGAACTCGTACCCAGGATCTTTGACCTTTTCTCATCTCGGAAACCGGGCTAAAATTTCTCATATGAACCCAAGGCAAAATTCATCCCGGTAACCGAGCCAGCCCGGTCAACCGGGCTCATATGAAGAGGCCCTAAAAGTTGTCGCAACACCTGTTGTAGTAATCTGTGCCAGAAGAGCCTTTTCATGACAACCAAAAAGTAAACTAAATTAGTATTGACAGTTTCTTTTTCTTTTGCAACTGTTTTTGATGAAAATCCGAGGGTTCGTAAAAACGAAAGTGAACGTACGCAAAGGGCAAACATAATTAGATTACAGTTTCTCCACAGCTGACACTCTTTTTATTTATTCACAAATGAGGCATAACAGAAAAAAGGATATGAAAAAAAAAAAAAATACTGCAAGTTGTTCAACAGGATAAAAAAGTATCAACCCAGGATAAATTAGTATTACAGTTTTACAGAAATTAACAAAAGGTTTATTTGTTATATACTGAAATATGGCCTTAGAAATGGTAATAAAATCAATTACCGTGAAGTAAACGCAAAAAAGTTACAACAGAGAAATAGTCTAGTCGGAAGGCAGGGTTCCCATGCACCCCTAGGATATATTTTTCTAACTTACATTTTTGTAACCCTCAAGATGTCTTGAAAAAGAAATTCTATGTTCCCATCGCGAAATATTGTCCCAAGGCCTTTTTTTCGTGCTCTTTGTGGCGGCCATCTTGGCAGCCATCTTGGTTTTCTAATGAAACTTAATTGCGGACAATTAGTTTATCAAAAGAGGCAAATAACTTTTATTTGCGTATACTTTTACTATAACGAATAACTTTAAAGTATATACGTCCTTTTTTTGACAAATGAAATAAATTTGAAGTAAACAGTGAAAACAAATAAAGTATGATTTACGCTCAGAATAAAGAATAAAACTTAACATTATATTCAACTCAGTTTTTTATGATTACCTCTATTAATTTTCCCATTTTAAAAAAGGGCAACCACAGATTAAAAAGAATCTTATAAAGTCCAGAATTGGATCAAAGCGAAAATACTATTAAATAAGTCACCCTATTGCCTTCTTAAATCAGACAGGCAAGTAACGGCAGAATAACCGTACCAACTCCACGCAAGCCACATGGCGATTCCTCCGATCTGAATGAACAATTCATGTTTTGATCTCTTTTCAACCTGTCGTGACGTCCGATCATTAAATTCGTGACAACTCTAGCGTTCGATGGAAACAGGATGTCTCTATGAAGTAATTTAATTAGGATAATTCTGAATTTTCTTGGTATTATTTGATTTAAGTTTGTTTTCTGGCCAACGCCAAAAGCTCAGAACTGAGAATACAGTCCGGCTTTATTGTACTGCGTGACAAATAAATTAAAACTTTCGCGGGAAAAATGGGCTTCGTTTTTTGACGATTTCGCTTGCTTATTAAAAAGATTATTATCAATACGGTGATTTATAATGTTTTTCCTTGTAATTAGGGATATAAAAGTTTTCAATTATCTCTTCTGAAGTCGTAAAAATCTATTTTAAGACATTTACGAACCACAATCACAGTAAAACGAAACGTGGCGCTATAAAATTTGGCGGGAAATATTAATACTCGACGCTTCGTATTGTACTTTCGCATGCCATTTTCTCCAATTTGCTGCTAGATACCAATTTTAAACAAACTGGATTTTGATAACAGCACAATAAGCCATCTAGAAATGATTTTACTTTTGAAATAAACTGCCGCATCTCGGTAAAACAGTCAACTGAAAATGACTGAAATTTGGGTGACGCTCATTAACGATTCAGGAGCGATTTTTAGCACCAGGTAAAAAATAGAGTATTTAAGCAAAGGAAGTTTAACATATTCCAGTCGACTAACGAAGCGATAGGTGTTATGGAAAAAATATAAGAACTATTGGGAGTTTGGCCAAGTATGTTTTAACTTCACCCAAAGTTAGCCAAAATTTGTGCTTTTTTAGGTCGCCGGAGGTCCCAAAATCTCGAAATAGTGATATCTCGAAGAAAATCGAACGGCTACTTCTCCAAATGCCATGGTTGTTAATCTTTTCAGATAGCTTTCATACTGTGAAAACATGAAGGTAAACGGCCGACCTCGATCTTTTGCTATTGCCCGGTTTTTTCTGACAATAACACTTAAAATAGAAACATAATATATAGATTTAGCCAGGGCTAAAAGCGAGGCTCCCATTAGTAAATTTATAATTTAAATTAAACAATAAACTTGTATTCGAATTCCACAATTCAGTTAACTTTAGAGCACATTTATGTGACTTTTGAGGGAAAGGCTACCTGATTTTAGAGAAAAATAATTTGCAAACAGCCCAAGAGTGAACCAAATCTTACATCGAGTTGATAGCCTCATATGTACACTCAAAAACTGGTAATCATTAAGAGCCGTAATGGCTATTGATCACCGTAGATCAATTAGGCTTAGAAATAAATCAGGCCAACGTTTTGGCGTTCGACAAGTTTACTTTGCAAAATCTTGCCAACAAATCTGGGTGCGTGTAAACCAACCTTTTATACCATGGACAGAAAGCAGTATTTCACAATACAAATTGCTCTCATTCAATATTCATAAACTGTTAAAAAAATTTTCCAAAATCACCTATACGGCCATCCGGTTCTCACTTTTGTAGTGCGAGCTGTAGCGAGTGTTTGAATGAACATTAACAGAGTTACGCTCCAAGATAATAAAGAATTTATCATGTTTATTTTTTATTTGATGGTTTAACGCGCGGCATTTTGAGAACTCCTGCAAGCGATGTTCACTGAACGACTGAAAACAATCGGCATAGCGATTAAAATTGCAAGAGAGACTACCAACAATCAATAAAAGAAATATAATTCGGTGAAACATAAACAGAGACAACAATTTTCATTCAGGAAGACAAGTATTAAAGTGTCCCTAAATATCCTGAGTCTTCAAGCTTCAAGCTTAAGTTTGCTGAAGTTTATGTTTTAAGCCAGCTTCCCGGTGTTTGTTTTTTCAAAGACGAACTCGAGGCAAGAAAATCGCTCAAAGCTTTCTTTTCCGGCTAGAATTATAACTAAAGATTCTTTGGAACATTTTCTTTCTATTTGCGGTGAGAAACGGTCTAAAGGCTTTTTAAAGTTCTGTAAGATTATATCAAACCAGATACTCGATGAGATCGTTGTCTCAAAACTTACAAACGCGCATAAACTAAATTCCCGCATAAACTACGCTCTACTTCATTAAATTAGATACAAAAAACAAACATGAAATACAATAATTTCTCTGGCTTACCATTCGAGATGCAGCTCCTGAAAGTTATCAGGTAAAGCCAGTATCGCTTCAGACTTTGCAATCCTCTTACGCATCAAGCAAGGTGAAAACGAAAACGATGCCATCCGAAATCGGATTTCCGACTTTGACAAGCGACGTTTTCTCAACCAAAAACCCAATAAACAAACTAGCCATGAGTAACAGAAGACTCCTGATAGCAGCTGAATTTCATTTTGTACATCCAGTGGACAAAGACAGTTAAAAACATCACAAGTTGACACAAAACTCTGTCAGCTTCAGCTGTTAAAGTAAACAAGATTCAAGATGCTGCATAAATTTTGCGCATGAACTCACATGTCAAATTTTGACCAATCAGAGCATAAAAATTGGACGTAGAGCGTGACCAACGCGTGACCATTGTGAGAAAAAACAAAAGCAACTGTCTTCCCTGCCTGTAACAGCTAGCTGAATTTTCACGTCCGAGGTCAGTTTGCAATCAAAATTTTAATTGTGCAGCACATAAACACAACATATTTCATATGAATTAAGAAAAAAAATTGAACTTGAGCCTGCGATCACTTGAAAACTAGTTTACTTGTCAGCGGATAACTTCAAAAAATACTTGACCTCGACGGGTCGACACCTGAGCCCGCGATACGGTCAAGTGATACTGGTCAGCGGGTACTCTGTTTTGACAGCTGTCAATTGATCAAAACATTGATGTCCAATATGTGTGCATTATCAGTTTTCCTGTGCTCCCAAACTAGTAAAAGTATGAGATTGAACGTTGTTCGCGATCTAGTAAAACAGTTAACTGGTCAGCGGACAGCTTCCAAATAAATCACGTCACCTCGATGAGTTGACACATGAGCCCGCGATATGGTCATGGGATACTGGTCAGTGGCTATCCTGTTTGGACAGCTGTCAATTGACCATATTGTTAATGTCCTATATTAAAGATGTGGGCTTGCCAAGACACGCCTGAGACACCCCTCCCTTCCTTTTGATAGTCTCCCCTACCCCACCCATACAATCTGTAGACGCGTACGTACGTACGCTCGGTCAATCACGTGACAACCAAACGAAAAGAGGTTGACCATATTCCATGGGTATGGGGCTCTGTCCCACGCGCGCTTCGCGCGCGCGGGAGCCCCGCTAAAAATGCTTTATATACATTCATGTCTTCATTTGCTCAGACGTAATGGCTGCGGTCACATCTACGACGTAACTAAACTTTAACTTAAGTTAGTGTCAAGTTACGTGATGTCATACCTAGCTGTGGTTAGTGCTTTCGGTCGACATTGCGGTCACAGCACGCAGTTAACAACAGTTAGTTCTAATTAGCCTATGTGAAATTTTTGTTTGTTGTTTTTGGTTTCCCCCTCGCTTCACGCTTGGTTTTTATTTTGCATATTTATATATGCTCATCTCGCACGTGCGAAATGAAGCGTCACATTTTGATTGGTTGGTTGTTTGTAAACTTAAGAGTAACCCACGAACCCTACTTGGGTATAGCTATAGTTAGTCTGTATTGTTTTGGATCACCGAAGCGTAAATTTTCTAACTATAGTTAGAGCGAACAGAGAAGCGGTCACATTACCGAAATAGCTAACTATAGTTATCCCCGTCTTAACTATAGTTAGTAGCCCAGATGTGACCGCAGCCAATATCTGTCATTCAAGTTACCTTGAAGTCGCCTTTCAGATACCGCTTCGCTAATTTGAGTTGTTTCTTTTGCTGCTGTGCCCATGACATCCCCATGCCGAGATCTCCTAGCGTATCAGCTGCATCTTCCAAATCATCAAACGCTTTAGCCCCAGAAGCGGTAAAGTAGTCTAAACCTTGTAGGGATGTTCGTACAGAAGCGGTCCAGACCTCGAGTATTCGAAGCAAAGAGCTTCGGCCAAGACAAGGTAGACTTGACTCATTGCAATACGCTTGATACTGCTGCACAAGGCGTTCTGGTACCATGTTTCTGATAACATTAGGCACAATGAGTACTTTGCCACTCGACAATTTAAAAGTCGTTTCTACCCAAATGGCAAATCCTGAATTATGTGTTGACTGGTTATGAAAGAAATAAAGTGGTCAACCATCTCCGGAGGGACGCGCATCCTCCTTTGTGTTGGCTTTGGTAATGGACAACCTCTACCATGCAGGAGTGCGTGCTGTTTGGCAATCTTGTAACGATATGGAGTGATATCTGGAATATACTGTTGCAAAGACTTAAGACTGATTTTGTCCACCATAATGGACAGTATTTGATGGCGCGTGTCCCACTGGGTAGCATTATTATAGCATTCTGCCAATACTCCAGAAGAGCACTATCGACGCTCTCTTGCTCGACTGACGCAGAGGCGAAGTGTTTTTGTATTGCCTTTGAATTCACCAACGTACTCCAAAGCATCTCCGCACTTTCACCAGGTGCCATTACTTCCAGTGATGCAGCAACGGCTTCGCTGGCTTTTTTGATATAATAGCGTCTCGTCCTTTCACTGGCGTCATTCCAGGGTGTCGTTAAGGAGGAACGAACAGGACTTATGTCCCGCGTAACAAGGAATTTGTTAAGCGCTGATCGTGAGTTTTCCATCTGATTCTGTTGAACAAACTGATCAAAGGAATCTTCAAGGCTCCCGGATTCTGGTGGCAGGTATAAACTTCCAGCTTCTGACCATCCCGGAGTTTCTATTTTAAACGATGTACTGGTTGAGAAGGTGGTATGCCTTTCCTAGAAAAGAACGGAGAAGGGCACTAATTTTGTCAGTGAAAGTTAAGGATCTGAATGCATCGCCGATGAATTTCACCTTTCTCATACTCTTTGAGCAGGTAAAAAACAGGAATTTTTGCAAAACTAGAAAGCATTCTTTTTGTCCATGCCCGTAAAATATAATTAAGGTGTAGTTTTTCACCACTACAAAAAGTCGCGAAGGCTGAGGAATGGGCGCTGATCAACCAAGTCTAGTTACAATTTTTTGTCACCAATAGCAATAATGCTGTGTCAAAGCTTCCGCACGATAGCCAAATTGATAATGATAATAAGAAATGGTAATGATAAAGATGGTAATGGTGATGCTGGTTACGGCTATGATAACTGTAATGATACTAGAAATAATAGTGATAACGATGATGATGATGATGATGATGACAGTAATGACGATGATCCTGATCTTATGACGATGATGATGATGTTGATGATAAAACAAGGACTTTGTCCTGAACAATGATATAGTGCTGCCGTTGGAGTAAGGAATAAGTATGAAAAAAAGATATGAAGTTTTGCTGGGGAAGTTGCACTTTCAAAGTGCTCAAATTCAGATTCTTCGCGCGCCACGCCCTCACACTAGATCTCGGTTCCGTCCTGACATTTGATTTTAATTAAGGTGAACAAATTTTAATGATACTATTTAAGAATCATTTGCTTTTGAACAACGTGAGCATGTGTCGGAAATGTTTGTTACTTATTACCATTTGACCGGTTTGTTTTGAATAAAAGGGATAAAAACATGCTGAACGCTCAAAAAAAGTGACTGCTCACCTCCAGACCTCCACCCCGCCCCCTCCCGCGCTCCTCAAAAACAAAACTTATAAAAGACCTGTACATAAATAAGCTTCCTTGTAAGTGTCTTCATTGAGCGTTTTCCAGAGATAAGCAGGGGAGGCACGAAAAATACGCGGCAAGAGGTCAAGACGCGAGAAAAAAAATCTCTCGCTTTTCGCGTGTTATGCGTGTTAAGCGCGCGACGCTATGTTTTGACGGGGGACAGGGTCGGGAGTTTTCTTTTTGCTACTGCGGATTATTTTACCTACTTCTAATTTCGGAGCATTTCATTCGATAGCGATCTAATACTTTTAGTTAACTATTACAGTTGTCAACTTACAGGTGAAGTTTCTTTACATTCAACGGCACTTTCCTCACAATGCGCACTAGCAACAGATTCGTTCATTTGCTTTGGAAGCTTAGTCTCCTTGGAAAGGGAGGTCAGAACCTGCCTACACGATCTGCAAACACCTGAAAATAATAACCGCTAGACTTGAGTCTCATTATATAATATATATATTTACATAAGATGAACACAAGTGAAAATGTTGATCGTTGGACTTACCTGATCCTACTGAAACCAATAGTCCTGTTTTATTCCAGATAACATGCGAAAATAATTTGCTTATTTCTCTGTCTGCTTTAGGACATTTGCCTCTTATGTTTTTATGTTTGGATATTTCGTATGGAACCCTACACCTATCGGTTCTCCGTGTCCATCCTATACCTAAGGAAGATCGATGAGATGGGCAAATTGTCATTGTTTGGACACTTTCCTGAATGGAAAACACAGCAGCACGGGCAAGGATCAGTTCTACTTCGTTGTCTACGGGCGTGATCCATTCAACCAAAATTCCAACCGGTCCGACCGGGAAAAGAGGACCACCTCAAAAGGTGGACCCGTTTTTTCGAAACTTTTCCGGTTGGACCGAACCGATCCATTGAGTTTTGGACCGAAATTTCCGGAAAGTTTGGTTGAATGGATCGCGCCCTACATCTTGAAAATTCCAGAGTGACTTGTGATTAGTTATACTTTGACTGCACGACAGAAGCGGCACTATCTCTGTTGACTGTTTTTTGTTCTTAGAAAGCAGTTGATTTTAACAAGAAAATTGAACAATTAAATGAGGTACGATGAAAAGATAAGAGCGGTTTTCATACCTTGGAATGATGCCAATAGGGTACCAACTCGGAAAAGCCTCAAGAACAGTTGAAAACTCAGAAAACTGTAGCTGTCTTACCGATTTTATTTATTTATTACATTTAATAGTTTCCCTTTCTTGTCCCTTTTAGAAAATATGATTCTCGGTTTTATTTCCAATTTATTTGCCAAAAAGTGTCGAATAGTCCAGACAATTAGACGCCTGACGCAGATTTACATTAAGAAATGAATAACGTTTTTACTCGTCAGCGAACAACAGGCGGCGTTGCAGGAAAATTCAGGTCTCGCTGGCCATAGCCGCAAACCGAAGTAACAGTTCATAAATAAACGAAAATAAGAAATGGACTTTTTTTCACTCGTACGACCCATTATTCGCCCCAGTTGTTTTGAGTACAAAAATTGATGGTTGTCTGTTTGACGCTCAACTTTAAAAAGGTAAATAACGTAATTATTTTAACAACGTTATTTACATGTACTACAGCTCAGATTGATCGGGGCTTTTGCTTTCATTTTGACCAGGCTTGTATAAAATGCTATATCATGCGCATAATGTGAGTCAATAGGTCTTGCCATACCGAAAAAGGATCGCGCTAGTGTTGTTTTGGTTAATAATCTGTAATATAGAAATAAATACATATTCCTATGTTTGTGAGACACATCGTCTTTTCTGTATTTTGTTTGTTTACTTGAGCGAGGAAAAAAAAGGTTCTTTTTGGGATGCCTGCCGGTTGTAATTCTCGTCGGTGAAGACTGAAAGCCCTGGACTATCGACAGGTGTTTATGTAAGAAAAAGAAGAGTGCACATTCATATACTCATGTCATGAAAAATTAAAAAAAAAAATCGATAAATAAACCTTAAAAGAAAATTTTAAATAAAGTTTTGAATGTTTTTTCTTTTCTCCCTTGATTATTATTAAAAATGATTATTATTTTAATCGCATACTTGCTATCTGACAAAAATGCCGTGACGAACCGTGTCACGCAATTACCTACGCATAAAAAGCGGCAATTTTAGCAAAGTTACGGTTAAACTTAAGGCCTTGCGGGCCACTTAAAAACTTTTGCCCAGAGATTTGTTTTGATTTTCTGATAGATTGGTATCTAATTAAGCCAAAAAAAGTTATTTTACGAAATTCTAAGTTATAGCGCAAGGTTAACATTTGCTATTTTTTATCCCTATAATTTGGCTGCCTAAAAATCGCAAGTAGGGCCCATTTTTAACAATACCTTTTGGCGACAAAAATTTTAGAGTTTTCACAAATCTATCATTATATAACAAAGAAAGAGTACAAAGAACTATACGGGTCGACCAAAAACTACCAACTCCTTGTAGTTTGACAGACGAGACGATGAAAGTTCTGAAAAATTTCGCTTTACCGGAAGTGGAATTTGAGACCCAAGCGGGCAAAATGAGTTTTCTCGATTTTTAACGAAAGAACACGTTATGCAAAAAAACTAGCTACACCCTATTTCATTACTCATTAAGGGTTATCAATGAGCAAAAAATGAGCGGAATCGAATTTTGAACTTGTGCCACAAAAAGTCGATTTTGGTCGATATTTACAGACAGTCGCTCTTAAAGACAAGAAACGAGAGGAAAGTCCGAAAGTCCGGAATAGAACTGCTCAAATAGTTTTTTGAAAGAAGGTTAGGTACAATAGATGAAACCCGACGAGGCAGCTGTCACAAGAGATAGCAAGCTACGTTTGGAGCAGGTTCATGAAAAGCAACGTTTGGAGACCCCTGAGAGGACAATAAAATACCTCTACTCAGTCCGCCAAGCAACGTTCAGCTCGTCTCAAATTTGTAAGGAAGTATAAAAGCCTTACTGTGGAAAGGGGCCGGGATGATTATTTTTTCTTGGATAAGTTCCCAAAATATTTTTTCTGCTCCCTAATCTAAACAATCATATTGTTTGGGGGTCGAAGTGGCTCCTGCATACTAGGTGATAAAAAAAACATAAAATGAATCATCTGGGGCTTTACACGCTACATGACTTACTCCACTCAATGCCACAACTGCTACAGAGTGTGACTTAAAAACAAAGGGGCCATGCCAGTTACTGCACTTCTGAATACATGTACTCGATAGAGCAACAAACACTTTTTAGAAATTTCATGCCAAAATAAAGTTTTGATCAAAAGTTTTAGCTAATAAAATTAGAGGAACGAACATTTGGGACACCCTGTAAAAGTACCGACAATTAAGGTGACTCGACCCAGTTTTTTTTTGGGGGGTACCATCCTACTTTGAAACTCTCTGGTATCCCCA